AGAAGAATTGTTGAATAAAGTCGTTATTTTTGTTTTCTTTGCGCACAAAAAGTATTCTCGTAGTTTCGTAACATTACAGTTGAACCACTGATGTCACATGGACTACTTTGTCGAGCATCTTGGTACTTTTCTGGACCTTGAACGTGGTAGTTCCCTTGCTGTCTATGAGAGGGTCAGAGAGCCCTCAGATTTCATCAAAAATATCTTAATTTGTGTTCCGAAGACGAACGAAGGTCTTACGGGTTTGGAACAACACGAGGGTGAGTAATCAATGACAGAATTTTCATTTTTGGGTGAACTAAAGCCAATTCACACTGCACCGACAGACACAGACCAATGCCAACGGCCAACCGATTATAGTCTGCCACTTCCGAGACATTCCAAGACCCGACAAACGGCGATTCAACATGTTAAATCGGCGAAAACAAATGCAGAACAGTAACAGATGCCGACAGGGTTAACACACTGATCCGACAAAACCCAACAAACCGGTCTGTTGCTGTTAGTCTGCGTCTGTCGGTGCAGTGTGAATTGGCCTTTAAAACATTAGAAGGATAAATCTTAACCTGACTTCAGCTCAGCAAAACCTTGGATTTCAATATCAACATGAATGCAGTAAACTTCACAAAAAGGTTAGAATTAAAAATAATTTTTGTAAAGGTTAATGCTAACCTTTTTGTAAATTTAAAATGAACAATACTTTCACAACATTTATCAATTTAGGTTAATGTAAGTTAAAAACATATCCTGTTCATTGCTAACTTGAGTTCATTCATAATACATTAAATAATGTTAATTTATACTTGAAATCTATAATGTATTATGAATGAACATTAATTAACAATGAACAATGGTATATTGTTAAAATGTTAAAAATGTATATGTAGACATGCTGTAAAAGTCGGTTACTGGTCATTTTTAGTTCTTGATATCAAATGGAAGCCTAATGAATCTTAAAGTATAAGCATAAAAGTCTACAGGTTTGACTTATTAGTCAATTTTAGCATGTCCAAAAATCAGATGTATCCAAGTCATTTCATTCTCCATACTGCTTTCCTTTTACAAACAGTCGTGAATTAAAACAAACTTTAACTCTGCTGGATTTGAACTCAAGCACAAGTGAAGTGTATAACAGCAGACGGACGGCCTGTCGGCTCAGACTCACCCTGAAGACGGCATTGGGCTGCTCGTTCAGGTTGACTTTGGTGATAACTCGTCCTGTGTCCGTCTCCACATCAAAGATACTTCCGCTGTACGGAGACAGATCCTGATCCACTCTGTAGCGCACTTTACTGGCAGGCATACCCTGAGGGAGGAACATGGTTAGTATCAACACATACCTAGAGCACATCTACTTAGTTTAAAGGACCAAAGTTGGTGTTTTATTATATTTAACTCCATGCATCACATTATAGATAATTACAGACTTCTATTGTTATCACTGCTTCAAAAGGGGTTTCATTATATATTCTTTCCATGCCATCAAATCATAATCATTTGCAACAATCAAGCTGCTATTTTCCACACAACAAAAGACAGAAATCAGTGGCTCTCAAGCTCCAAAAAGGCAAATAAAAGCCCTTATTTGCCTTTTAAGTATTTAGGTTTTTCAATGTCTTGTGTGAGGGACACTCTGAAAGAGTCATTATTCATTGAAAATTACACATCACTACAATAGTTTGCAATCAGTAAGATTTATTTTTTTGGAGGAATATAATATTTTTTATTCAGCAAGGACACGAAAATGACAGTAAAACTTTATATTCATCAAATAATCTTGAAAAAAATGTAACAAAAATATTAAACAGCACAACTGTTTTCAACAGTGATATACTGTAAGATTTTTTTTAAGCAGCAAATCAGCATATTAGAATGATTTCTGAAGGATCATGTGACACTGAAGACTGGAGTGATGGTGCTGAAAATTCAGCTTTGCATCACAGGAATACATTACATTTAAAATATATTAAAATAGAAACTATTTTAATTGTAATAATATTTCACAATATTACAGTTTTTACTGTATTTTTGATTAAACAAATGCAGCCTTGGTGAGCAGAACAGATCTTGTTTAAAAACATTTTAACAACCTCGAACGGTGTTGCTCAAAATGTATGTTCCTGATGCATTTATGATGGTCTTCTTTGCAGTTTGAAAGCCTACGGTTGAAAATATGGAAAAGAACAGCTTGGACATTCTGCAAAACATCTCCTTTAGGTTTAGAATGATATGGAGGGTGAATCAATAATGACAGAATTTTTATTTTTGAGTGAACTATTCTTTTAAAGGATTGACTTTTCTTTGAATAGCTGGTTTGAGCTTCCTCAAAGGTCTCTCGGGCATCGTGTTTTGTAGAGCTACAGAGAGCTCCGTCTGCTGCACCTCATTCTACTGAAACTTTACAGCTCTTCCGTCTGGCTGCGTCATAAATGTTTGATGCTTTGTGCTGTGGTAAACATACAAAGTCATTTATACTGCAGTAGAAAAAGAGACAGAAGCAACATCACATTTACATCTCTGACAGCCAAGAAATGAGTTTCTAGTTTTTTTTTTGGTCCATGTCACAATTTTTCTATGGGTTATTATCTGTGTCATATTTCTTTGGCACCCCCCATGTTTTCAAAGCATTATTTAAAGAAGAAATGCATAATTTAACAGCTTCTGTGGCAAGCCATGAAAATAAACAGCACTGTAGTCTGTTTGACGGCAGACAGCATGAACAGGAAGAGTAAAACAGACAGATTTACCTCACCCGACCACATTAATCTCTGCTAAGACGATCACACCACTACGTTTAGGGAAAGTAAAGTTAAATCCGATGACCTGACATTACTGTATCACTCGCTGCTGTCCTGGTTCTCATGTGTACAATCCAGCCATGATGCCAAATAAGAACATCAAATGCAGGCAAAATCTGCTATAATAAATGTAGCAGAGAAGTTATCTGATTCTTAGTCATTAAAACACAACTCCGCACAAGCTTTGGAAGCACATATAACCTGACTTTATGCTAATAGACATATTATCTTTATATGAAAAGATACAGTAGTCTTGATACAGTACTATGATAAAAAGTATCATTAAATGCACTATTAAAGTATGCTGTATTATGAATACAATCATGGCTAAAGGCCATCGTAACCCTTTCAGCCATTACAATATTCACAGTGCCACACGGCCCCTGAGGGATTCACTGTTTTGATAAATCATTAACTACTTAATAAAATTTTTAATAGAAACATTATTTCATTACACAAAATCAAGCGCCATCAACTATAAAATATAGTCTCTGACATAAAAACAACAACAGAACATGCTCTCTATAAGTGCTGAGTAGTTAAATCTTTTATATAAAATCTTAAATTTTCTACATTTCTTCTACAGATATTGATATATGACATTAAATGCTATTAAGTTAATTAATTAAACAAAATATCAAGTAAAAAACAAAAACAAATTATATACATAGACACTACCAGTCGAAAGTGTGGAATAATTAAGAAATCGCTTATTCTGTATTTACAGTATTTGATACAGTATACACTGTAATATTGTGAAATATTATTAGAATTTAAAGTAACTCCTATTTTAAATTCTAATGTCTAATTAATCAATGTTGAAAACAATTTTTGCTGCTTAATACTTTTGTGGAAACTGCATCACTCAATTTTTGTAAGATTTGAAAATAAATAAATAAATAAAAATAAATAAATAAATAAAACATTTTAGAATATATTTGTCAACCCTTCAGTTGCCATGGACCTTGGGTCCGTTCTTCGTACGTCGCTTATTACATCCGAGATGAAATGTCACATCCAAGATGATATCATCGCGCTAATCAGGATCTGGCTAATTCGGTTCTTCAAACACACCTGTTGTTGATGATTAGTATGGCTGGATTGAGTTATCTGAGATAAT